TTATTAATAAATATTTTATATATAAATATTTCTTAATAGAATACGCATATACTATATAGTATTATTAAATATAAATATAAATCTATTTATTATAATTAATTAATTATAGAAATATTTATAAAAATAGATTATAATTATATATAGCTTAGGAGGAATTTAAAATATATATAAATAATTTTAAAATTTTATTTTTATCAAAAAATATACTATAAAATTAACAATAGTACTATAATATTTAAAAAATCTAGACTAATTCTATGATATCCCTTTCTAATAAGGTGGCAGCACTATGGATCCACTGTTACTTCAACCCTGGGACCTCCCGCTAGGTAGTACTGCGCCCCTCGTAGCGTTGGTCACTAGCTCCGAAGGAGCCATTACATAGAGCCTTACAATTCTATATTTATAGTTTTAATAGCTATCCTTATAGATTGTTAATAACTTCAAGTATTAGTTAGTTAATAAAGGATCATCCTTTTATAAATAAATCAATCCTACGGAGTTGCCAACATGCACTACTCTATACACTATTTTGCAACACTAAAAGCATATCATTATCTCAGTCACTGAGGAATGCCAAGAACTTGGCCTGTATGGCACGTGCACTTGTCAAACAATCAGACAAGCGATAGCAACTGCAAGAGTATTTCATTGCCACCGTTCAACCACTGAACTGGAGACAGACCAGTTAAGGGAAGACATGGAGAATAGTACAGCATCAGAAGGCAAAGATCCATCAGTCTTTCTGAGTGAGATTATTGGTGCCCCAGTCACTGTGAAGCTGAACTCAGGTGTTGTCTATAAAGGTCATTTCATCCTATTCTCACTTGAGCTACCTTTACCCAAATGCTGATATCAGGCTAGGTGAACTTCAATCAGTAGATGGTTACATGAATATTGCCCTAGAAAAGTCTGAGGAATATGTGCATGGGAAGTTAAGGCGAAGTTATGGAGATGCTTTTGTCCGAGGAAATAATGGTATGTTCCATCGACCTATCTTGGCAATTTTATGTCTCTAATTCTGTATGTACTTGTTGCAGTGCTTTACATCTCAGCAAATTGAGGATATGACAAATGATTCCAATGGAGTCTCATTGTTGCCCATTGGTTGTCCTCTCGCTATGCCCGCAAAATTAAGCTACAAAATGTCCCAGCAAGACATATCAGGTGGGGGAGAAGGAAGGAAATTGCTGGCACCGCATCAAGAGCAAGCTGGCTGATAAAACAACAAATCGATTAATCAATTTGTCTTCCCTATACCAAAGTCTATTTCCGTCCTACCCTCATCGGATCATCTATCTCAGACAGCTCCATTCATATGGGAGGCCATACTTTAATACCCCTGTATTGATCGCCCCCAGAACAACCTAAAAGCCATAGATAAATCATACACGAACTATGTAACACGAATACCTCTCTAGTTGCTCGCCCAACTACTTAGTATTGCCTCGCTGCCGTTGGAATGCTTGAAAACAGAACAACTCGTTATCTAGTTATGATACCGTATACGGCCTTAGAGTTTTTACATAATAGACCGAAGACAGTGTGTGAATAATTGATTATTTAGTTGCTTCTTCCTATTGTTGGGGTACCCACCAAATCCAGTTTAGTCTGAGTGAGTGTATGTGTTACATCGATGGCTCTTGGGATTCACCAAAGCATGTGCCAAACTTTTTCAGGTCCACTTGGCAGCTTGAAGAAACTAATGAGACTTGCAGTTACTTAGGTGTATATAGAGGACTATGTACTAAATCAAATACTAGCATCTGTGACAAGTATCATACCTAAGTTATGATACTTGTTGCTCCGCCAAAATGAGATGAGGGGCGTGTCGCCCCACATGAATTGTTTTTCTTTCATCCTTGATTGCCGATGATGTATGGGCGAGGAGCGAGCTGGCCGCGGGGCCTTTCCTTTCGCATCTTCCTTCCGCACGGCGCCCTGTTTCAATCTTATTTCATTTCTCCCCCCCAGAAAATTCTTGTATTTGTTCCAAATCTCTCGGAATGACTCTGCAAGCAATCAAATATAATGGTGGCAATCTTGCCATCATTGATCAGCTACAGCTTCCACATGTAGAGAAATACGTTACAATACATACAAGTGAAGAAGGCTGGCATGCAATCAAGGAGATGCGAGTGCGAGGAGCACCTGCGATTGCTATAGTAGCGGCCCTCTCACTTGCATCAGAGCTCACTACCCTAATGGCTTGCAACAAATTATCTTCGAATGCTATGGAGGCACAGACTTTTATCACAGAGAAGTTACACTATCTGGTGAGCAGCAGACCTACAGCAGTCAACCTTAGTGATGCAGCTGGAAAACTGGAGACCATAGTGGCAGAAAGTGTTAGGATGCCTGGATCCACAGGCCATGCTGTTGCTACTGCGTTTATCCAAGCTGCCGAAGCAATGCTAGTGAAAGATGTTGAAGACAATAGAAAGATTGGAGAGTATGGTGCCAAATGGATATCAGAAAATGCTCTATCCGAGAACAGTACTAAGGCTACGGTTCTTACACATTGTAATACAGGGTAAGTACGCTGTCGTCTATAGTTGGACTCTCCTAATCGTATCGATAGTTCTCTCGCGACTTCGGGGTTCGGGACAGCCCTGGGGGTAATTCGTGCACTCTATTCGACCAAAACCTTACAACATGCCTATTGCACCGAAACGAGACCATACAACCAGGGCTCCCGTTTGACAGCATTTGAGCTCGTTCACGACTGTATTCCTGCTACGTTAATAACAGACTCAATGGCAGCTGCATTGCTCGCTAGACCCGAGATAGGCGTGAATGCAATTGTGGTGGGGGCAGACAGGGTAGCAGCTAATGGCGATACCGCAAACAAGATTGGTACATATGGTCTTGCTGTGCTTGCAAAGCACCATGGTGTGAAATTCCTCGTGGCTGCACCGCTCACGACTATCGACCTAGTCACCAAGTCGGGGAATGAAATTACTATCGAGGAGCGGCCCGCATCCGAGGTTACTAGGATTAGAGGCACCTGCGAAGATGGTGGTGTCTCCGAAGCCGTGAAGATGGAAACCGTATGCATAGCAGCAAAAGGGATCAATGTTTGGAATCCAGCATTCGATATAACCCCCGGGGCTCTTATCGATGGTATTATAACTGAAAAGGGAGTGGTGGAAAAGGACTCTGATGGATTATTTCACTTGGAGGAGCTGTTTAAAGCCTGAGAAGTAACTGAAGCCCCACTGTTGTCGTGGCAATTAGTCTCTCCTGTCGTGGGCTGTGGTTGGCGTGTCTCCTCAAAGCCATTGAGTAGTTCGTCAATTTTGCGTTCCAGGCTGCTTAGGTGATTCTCCAGCGCTAGAGCGGTTTTTTCGCCCCTGGGAAGTAGAGGTCAGAGTTATTTAAACATTTATCGAGCACCAGGGTGTCTGTACTTGGAGATATCATTGAAGGCCTGCAACTTAGTGTTAATGCTCTGTTTTAAACAAGCTAACAAGTCCATAATTTGCATAAAAGGAATTAACTTGCATCCCAGGAAGAAACGCACTTGCATGATGTTCGAGTTATTTTGATTTTCTTCCTCGTGCGACATGGCTCTAGTCAAACCACTGGACCGTATTTGTAAATGTTGAGGGGAAATTACAGGCAACGTTGTTTGATCAAACAGTCTCGTTGTGGTCCCGAAGCCAAGATTTGTCCTGTTAGCTTTTGTTGTCACCTGATCATGCACATCTACGTAGATATACATAAGTGGTACTAGTACTAGGACCAGCTCCGTAGGGAGTTTTGAGGTTCGTTGAGAAAGTCCAGTCTTGCTTGTTTTCATTTTCCTAGATCAAGTCACCTTTTTTATATACATAGCAAGTTACCCAACCAAGTAGCCCATAAGAAAGAGTAACTGACAATATAGATATCTAACCTAACAAGACTAATCTGATAAAGTATTCATAACCTAGATTTACTATGTAATTCGCGATAATGTATATTTTGCGGCCTCAGACTAGTTCGTATATGTATCTGATAGTCTACTTATTCCATAATCTTGAGCCAACGAAGGGGGGTTAGCATACAGCGCAGGGACTGGACCAGCTAGGGGAATATCACTAAAACACCATATTTCTGTTAGATTAAGATCCTATACTATATAGATTATTCACCCAGGCCTTTCTTCCCGATCTCATGTGAATGATAGATCTGGGGTGACCGAACATTAGAAGGGCCGAGGCCACCTCATTTGTCCGTAGATGATGCGTTATATATCATCGGATGTCAATAGAAATATAAACAGCACTGCCAGGAATTGCCCAGCATTTATTGTCGCATACAACAGCTGATCTGATGACACCTCGCTGTCTTTTTAGGTGTCTGTATACATAAATTCTAGTATTTCTTAAGATCTCATGTAAGTTATACACAGCACAAAGAGTGGCGAATATTGGTCCAGTTAGTCTCAACTTCACTTGATGCTGATGAGTAGTACCTTTTGATAGAGATAGGAAGTACGTACCATTCCCGGTATATTCGGCCCCCAGACGGAGTGGTATAACGTTGGAAAGGATTGTGGATACTGTACTGAACTACTAGTACTGTGTAATGGCTTAGTTGTCCCGCCCAATCAACACACGTCATTGAGACTTCTTCGCATTACAGTCCACCATCATACTCCGCTACATCAGGCGTCCCGTCCAAAGGGTGCATATCGCGGTGCAAGAGTGACCGCCTAAGATATCAGGCGTCCAGACATATCCTCACCTTCACATTCGTTCAGCTGGTGGAGACCTGTTAATTGAAAGAATATACGATATATCCTTCCGGTACCTGTTTGAAGCTCATGCGGTCATTTTTCAAGAGGCCTTCATGGGCAACAAGGGGAGATGATGATATGGACTCTGAGTTCTACCGTCGTGCTGGCCAAACGTACGCAGACATTATCGCTGCAAGTAAGGTAGCTCGAGATAGTCCACTAGGTAGTCCTGGCAGTTCTACTACAGAGGACGGTAAGGTTTGTAAGCGTCGACACATCTCAGGAGAACCGCTGTCGAGAGAACCCGCACCCCGAGTTCTTCCTGACGACGGCCAAGAGAGAAGCGATATACAAGGCATATCTCTCCGCAGCGTTGATTCCTGGAAGACTTCACCATACATAAGTGATTGTAACGACTGCCGGACGCCGGTACAATTGCCAACAGACAAAGCTAGCGCTCTTGGCTCGAAAGTTGATTCCTCTAACACCAGAGATATTCGGCAAACTCATGTTTGGCCCTACCCAAGTACGAATGCAGAAATAACCGAGACGGAAAATGCAGTCGACAAGATCCCTGTTCCTTGTGATGCTCGAAAGAACCAGCGAAAAGTTGCCGTCCATACGGATCAGCACCATGATTCTATGGATTATGATACGGTTGTTCAGATTCTTATCACCTCCAAAATTGAAAGCACAAAGCCGCTGATAATCCACCGAAAAATGTCACAGTCGCTGCGAGATGTTCGTCTTGCATGGTGTAACCGCCAAAGTATACCGAAAGAGATGCAGTCATCCATACTCCTGACTTGGAAGGGCAGAAGGCTATTTGATGTCACAACATGCAGGAGCTTAGGAATTGGCGTGCCGCAAGGCCTTGCCGACAGCGCAGTACACGGCGATCATATTCAGCACGGCAGCAAAGAAGACATTCGTATCCACATGGAGGCTGTTATCGAAGACAATGTGATGGCAATCAATGACTGGCAAGCCTCGCATGAAAGTTACCCTGCATATGCCCAAGAGTCTACAGCAACAGATGGCAGCAGGCTTCTATCAACAAGGGTCGTTTTGAAATGCCCAAGCGCTGGCGACATGGAATTGAAAGTTAGTTCAAGAATGCAAGTCTCGCGACTTGTTACTACATTTCGTGATGAAAAAAATTTACCGAAAAACCGGGAAGTATACCTAGTGTTCGATGGTGATCGGTTAGATCCCAGTTCTTGTCTGTCGATGTACGACATGGCAGATGGTGACCTCGTGGATGTCGTGATCAAATGAAATGTGGAGTTTAGAGGACACCCTTTCCCCTTCGCGGAACAAGGCTTATTCCATTGGGAGGTCAACAGACCGTTTTCTCTACTGATGCAATATTGAATATGATAAGTCTTATTGGCTTCAGGCTGGTCCGTACTAAATGCTTTATGTTCGATAGCTGATATGAGACGAGGAGATATATTCGATAATATGAAACATATTCATTACATGAAGTCTTAGTAAATATACACATCGTGGAGATGGCCAGAAATTGACTGTGTACTCTGGTTGGGAGTTTGCATTACTCGTGAAAGGACTGCTCAATTTGGTTTTTTTTTTTTTTTTTTTGCAGTAGATTTCTGTTCCCTTCCGCTATGAGATAATTTGCCCCCAGCAATATTCTCTACTGTCTCTGCTCTTACATGCTCCATTCGCAACCGAACATCGCACCACCATACCTATAAGAGCCTTAATGAAGTTGATTACTGCCAATTTTTTGACCTGTGCCGTCAAAGGGTGCAAGGCATCACCGGCGTCATTCCCACTTCATTTTAGGGATGCGGAGCTTGAACTGCAGGAGCTTGATTTTCAACCCGAGTTTATCCGTAACATTGTCCCTCGAATTGATTGGCATGCATTACAGACAATGGCAAATGAGGTAAGTAAAATTTGCACACTGCTATGCGATGTGTTCAGATAAGGATAGCGCTCACTCATTACAAGCTTGGGTTCCCCAAAATCCTGGATAAGAAGCCGGAGGGCGATGAGCTCATGGATGAACAAATATTAAGGGAACTTCATCGATTATTATTGGAAACGCAAATTATTGAGGGCAAATTGACTTGTGGGAATTGCGGCCATGAATACTTAATCAAAGAGGGGATTGCGAATTTTCTTCTACCAAGTCATTTAGGTCTGTACTCTCGCTGTCTTTCTACCACTCTGCAATTTCTGACTTGTCTTAGTTTAAATCTTCTACATATGTTGTTCCATTAGGCGCGGCGAGCTGAGTGTCAGGCCGCAATAGCTTGGGAGGGCTTCATGGTTGTTCCATGTCCTTGCCTCATTAGTATATCAGGTTTTATACCGCAAAGCGTTCCGTGTTACATGTTACAATTCCCGCCAGCGTCTTTTCTGCCTGCCCGAATCGCATATATCATCAAAAAAGCCTATGTGATGAAAAGCCGAGTGATGAAAGCTATATGGTACATGGTTGTTGCAGTTGATTCGGAAATAATATGAAATACAAGGCCTTGCCGTGATGGGAACCGCATACAACAATGGAAACAAGCAGAAAATTACACATTGGCCAGTTCCATGTGAACAGCTGCTAACCCAAGCCTCAGCCAAGACGCCATAATGCCAATGCTGCATCTGTCAAACAAGCCCAGATATTATGCTATGTTGAGCGAAAGAAATGCAAAATAAAGAGGGGCAACAGTGGCAGGTAGACGGACTGAGAAACCTACGCTGAGAGCATCTCAGTTAAGAAAACCTTTGCACCCGGTTGAGCCACAAAGGCATGGGATTCTATCATCGCTATCCCACTCTCTTTCGAATTTGTAGTCATACGTCAGCTCCTCATCTGCAGAGAAAGCAAGTTAACTTGTGCACCCATCGGGATATCAATGTGCTTCTGCCAAACTTACCTCTCTCGATGTCTCTCAAAGCATATATAACAATACGCTTGCTACCATCGACTTTAATGATCTTGGCAGTGCAATTCGGTGTACAGCTATGGTTGATAAACCTAGCAATGCCACCTCTCTTTGTAGCATCTATAACTGTGTTCTCATCAATGCGGAAAAGGTAGCTGCTACCAATTCCACTCTTTAAATACTGCCTCTCCCTCATATCCGCAACCTGCTGCCGCACCTTTTCACCTACATATTCAATGATCATGTCATTTGCTGATATATTTTCTTCGGCATAGAGGCCCCAGTTATGGATAGCTGACCGAGCAAAGCGTACTGGCTTCTTTCGCTTCTTCAGCTGATTAAAGCGAAGGACGTCGCCGTCTCCAGATTGAGTGGGAAGGGCCTGTTTCTGTGCATTGATGTCTGCAATCAATCGGCGGTTATTGACTCTTGTAGATCTGGATGTAGACTTAGATATGTTCTTTGCCGCAGCAACTCTTGCAGCCTCAACTGCAGCAGTATGGGGATCATTCTTTGCTCTGGCCTCGCGCTCTTCACGTGCCTTCTGGACTTTGATACGATGTGGCAGGTACTTTGACTTCTCCGACTCCAATATTCTCTTCCTTCCTTCGGTTCGAGCAGCACCTGTTGTATTGGGTAGATAATAACCTGCGATGCCAGTCTCCTCGCGCACGGGACCCACATCTCCGGGATGATTGAGGGCTTTGATTTCCTTCTGCCTCCATGCCCAAGCCGACAGGTTTCCAACATTGGATTCGGGATATCCAACAAGGATATCTCGAAGAAAGTGCAGATCCTCGTCGTCTTTTATTAGGTTTTGCCATCCGTCGAGATCCATAATTATTGCATCGTCGTCATCGACAATGGGCCTAGGCTCATCATTGGACACTCGCCATTCTACCAATGTTCGGGATTCTTCGCGCACTTTTGCACTATCGACAACGTCAAGAGGAGCTAGTATACCGTGGCGGTCTTTCTCTGTCGTTGAGGACGCAATATCAATACTATAGTCCAGATGGTTGGCTCCTCCCATCTCTTGCCGATTATCATGATTCTCTTTTGGAAAGATACTATGAGCAGCTTCTGACCCTTCGAGATTTATGTCCACGGCTATAGGGGTTGTGATGACTTGGGCGCCTTCGACTTCGGTTGCTGCAACAGAATTAATGCCAAAAAGTTCGTCATCTTCCTTTTGTCTTTTGCGCGCGTCGAGTTCTTCACTGGCTCTTTTCCGTTTTCGCAACTCTGGAGAAATTTCGTGGCTTTCAAGCTGTGAACTTTCGCCAACCGATTGATTGTCCTTCAAAATCTCTTCGGGCTCTTGACTTTGAGCTGAGCCAGCCAGTTTTACAACTGGAATTCCCAAAGCCTCGGAAACAAAGCCGTCGCCATCGTCAGACTCTGAGGTCCCCGAGCTCATCCGACTTGGAGGCCGACTGTCTTGCTCATCCGTATCTTTGGGTGTTCGTTGCTCATCATCTGAGTCGTCAACGTCATGCAACTGTTGCAGCCGGTGATACAGTGGTCGGACTTCTCTTCTCCGCAGCGGCTGCTTACGCCTTTCGTCCAAGAAAGCAGCATCTGTCCGACCAAGATGGCGAGCCTTCCGAATACGCGGAAGTGCAAGAATATTTGGTGCAGATCCATTGAAAGGACGTCTTGTGTCTGATAACCCTGACCGCGAGTCTGGTGTCCCGAATGAATTGTCAATTCGAAACATGGGTCTTTTGATCCCCTCCGGGTCAGCGATACCTAACGTTTTCCTTTTTAGAGCATGCCGGTCTGGGTCGAGGTAATCATATAAGGCTGGTGCAGCAATGCGTGACTTCACATCCTCAAGAAGTTTATCTTTCAGGTCCCGGATTATGATGGTTATTACTTCTTGGCAGGGGTCAAGGTCAACCGCTCGCTGCTTTTTCTCTTCTTCGATATCAAGACCCACTTCTCTTTTCAATCTTTCTCTTTCTGCTCGCTCGCGTTGTTCTGCTCGACATCGCTCAGGACTTGGACTGCGCTCGTAGCTGGGATTGCCATAAGGCTGGCTTTCCATATTCATGATATAGGTGAACAGAGGCTTCATGTGGCACATTTTGTAGCAGCGCTCAGTTTCTTCCTCACCGCGCCTAGAGTTCTCAAATATAATATAGTACCCGGTTTTGTCGCAACGAATGTCTTTCCAGTTAAATAGCTTGAGCCTTTTCTTAAGGTGTGGAACGGTTGTACTAAGGACTGGTACGTAGCAATGAGCAATGAAGATGTACGGATCCCTTTTGATCTGACTCAAAATGGGCACTTCCTCAACCAAGGACGGCATGACGGGTTTAAGAAAATTTGCCCTCGGTCCTTCAGGAATCACAACCATAGGGCGAACAGATGGTTTTCCAGAAGGACCTTTCGGCGCCGTCGGAGGGGGCTCATTTTTCTTTATTTCCGAATCTGATTTCGCCTCTTCCGTAGATAGAAGATTGCTCTTCTGTCCCATCCTCTGGGACTCAATTGCCCTAGCCACAAATCTGTCTGAAACAACCCCATCGCGATCCAAGTCAACCCTGATCCTTCGCGTCCCGATGCGCTGCTCTTTTCTGCATTCATAGAATGCTCGCCTAGCTGCGCTTGCTGCGAGGACAGGACCGCCACCCCGAAATGAAGCGCTGTCTTTGTACTTTACTGAGCATATTCCAAGAAACCTGCCAGTAATCGGATCCGTGCGGTTATTTATCTCGGCAATGTCTCCGAAACTTGAAAACAGGGCGCTGATCGGCGCGATGGGGGTGAGAGGATCGAAACCAGTGATGACTATCTGCGCAGGAGGCCCGGGCCCTATTGTCGTTGAAGCATCATAAGGCCAATGCTTTAAAGGATAGGGCGCTGGTCGATATTTCCTCTTCTGCTTGCAACCGGCACCTCGCATGTAATTTGGAATCCCAAGGCGAGGATCTGGTGGGCAATTATCTTGTTCGCTCAAGATAATATCGACATAACGGGGTTTCCTTCGCTTCTCCTTCGAGGATGATCGTTTTTCGGAGTCAGGGTCATAGACCAGCTTATAACCTCTGATGCTTCCAGTGCGACGGCCTTGAGACTGTGGCGTTGGTGGGGTATGGAGAGGGTTTATTCCACTCTTAGTATCGACAATAGCATTTGCAACAACCTCTTCTGCTATTTTGTTCCGGGGTGAGTTTGCTCTATGAGCGGGCGATGACTCGGCATTGGTAAGAGGAGTTAGGGTGTCAAGACGTGCTTCATGCGAGCTCGCGCCATGTTGAGCAACAGATGTGCTAAAAGCCGGGCGATCTCCTGTTGTAGAGCTTGCAGAACCTTCCACAGATGATTCAGGTGACGTTTTCTTTAAATCAGTAGAAGATATTTGTCCAGAATCCAGTGATGCACCGCCGTTAGACGAGTTGAGAAAAGCTCTTGTTTCCGTGGGGCACGTCGATGATTCATCGCTATGTTCACTATCAACTTGGGCCTTAGGTCGCGGTCGCTCCCTAGTTACTTTAAATCGTTTTTGCTGGAGGACAGACGGCGCAGTAGGGAAGAAGTCTGCAAAGCCTGCCGAGGAGCGCGACATACTGAGAGATGGCTACGAGCCAAAATCAGACCAGCTGCGATCAGAAGGCAGCATCCTTAACCGTTGTATTCGGCTAGTGCGCAGTCATGAGGCCAGGAATCTTCCCTGGCGTAAATCGTACAAGGTGGAACCAAATCCGGCAGAAGATATCGGGTATAGACGAAAAAAAAAAAAAAAAGGTGGAAGGCGGTAGCTTATCGAAGGCAAAGGGAATTGGTTGAATTGATGTGAGCACGAGGAATGTGAGACTTTGGGAAGTTCAGGATCGCAAGAAAAGAGTCCATTAGATGTGTTCTTGAATCGCCCTACCAACGCGGTCAAGGAACCAGAACGCGAAGAAGCTCACGGCTAAAGTTGGAGCGGTGGGGGAGGGGACTTCATTTGAGCCTCGCTGAAAAGGGTACAACCCACTGGCAAGCAAAGGAATTATTGCATTATTCTGGATTTGTGTATTTTTGAACATAGGAGGAGTGGTACTTTATTCTCTCTTCTTTTATTTGCCCTTGGGAGCGAGGGGACAAAAGTGTTGCCAACATCGCTTTTTAGATCCTGGAACCAGGACACATGTTGCAGAGTTCATTCGCGCAAAGTCAACATGCACTTGAAAGTGGTCGGCACTTGGATACAATCAGCTTCAATCATCGATATTTAACATCTTCAGCTTGATCTAAACAGCTCAGAGATATTCAAGATTGTATAATCAGATTCCCACTGTTCTCAATCCATCTATCCTTGTCCTTATCTCTTAGGGGTATTCTTGCTCCCTCTTCTAGTATCCCAATGATTTCGAACGTAATTATTCCATCGATGATAGTGGTGAGGCTCTTATAGATCCCCAGATGATAATTTAGTATTTAAAAGAAACCTGTCCGAATTCTTTGCATGCATAAGATACCAATCATGGATGACAACGGCACAGTAAATAGACATATTGGACGCCAACTTTTAGCTGCGTACAGCGTACATTCTACTATACATACGAGCATTCTCAGTATTAGGGCCAAGTAGTTTTTT